TATATCTTTGAGGATCTGCCCCTTTTGTATTGTACGATAGGGGGATCTTTGAATATTTCGCTAAGCAATACTCCTGTTTTTAGGAGGATATTTCACCAGAGTAGAGCCGTTAGAGGTCATAGGTCTGCGTGGTTTCCGCTGTTATCCGCGGGTAATTTGTTGAGTTTGACACCTCTGTTTTTGACCACGTGTTACTTTTTTTGGCTCATTTGATTGCAATATATGTTTTAAGCTCTCTGAATATTAGCTCTGGAGGAACAAAGTTTGAAATATTCCGTGAACATGTTGGTTACTTGCATTTTGTATTATTACGCCGCGCCCAGCTGTTTGATTTACTGTTGCAAGTTATGCTGCTTGTTATCACGGGTGTCATATTTATCTTATCTTTCCTTGTTGAAAGCTATGAGTCTGTCTTAGAGAGACGTTCTTATTCTTCTCGCATCAATTTCATCGAGCTTTTTGTCCTTCCAGTATGTTCTTTCTGGAACTGCAAATGTAGATGTTCACGCGCAAGTCTGTGGACTGTTTTGCGTGTTGTTTATGATATTGTGTGGTTTTNGGAAGCTATAAGGAGCAAAACCTCAATTCCATTCACTGCCCCCCATAGATGACAGGCAATTTCAAGTGGTTAACACTGTAGCAGATGAAAGCCACGGTGCTGCTAGGATTACACTTAGATTGACAGGTACATAACTGAACATTGTTTCATGCAAGTTCTCTTTGATAACAATGGGGTGACAGGCCTACACAACTCCTATCCACGACGGTGTAATAGCCGCTTTGAGAGTTTTGCTAGAACTAGTATATCTTTAAGGATCTGCCCCTTTTATATGGTACGATAGGGGGATCTTTGAATATTTCGCTAAGCAATACTCCTGTTTTTGCGAGGACATTTCACCAGAGTAAAGCGGTTAGAGGTCATAGGTCTGTGTTGTTTCCGCTGTTATCCGCGTGTAATTTGTAGAGTGTGACACCTCTGTTTTTTGCCACGTGCTAGTTTTTTTGGCACATTTGTATTGCAAGATATGTTTTAAGCTCTCTAAATATTAGCTCTAGAGGGACAAAGTTTGAAATATTCCGTGAACATGTTAGTTACTTGCATTTTGTATTATCACGCCGGGCCCGGCTGTTTGATTAGCTGTTGCAAGTTATGCTGGTTCTTATCACGGGTGTCATATTTATCTTTGTCAGGCTTCGCCAGAGATAGCTGTAGCTTTCCTTGTGGAAAGCTGGAAGTCTGTCTTAGAGAGACGTTCTTATGTTTCTTGCATCAGTTTCATCGAGCTTTTTGTCCTTCCAGTTTGTTCGTTCTGGAACTGCAAATGTAGATGTTCACGCGCAAGTCTGTGGACTGTTTTGCGTGTTGTTTATGATATTGTGTGGTTTTGTTCAGGCAAAAGCTCTGAATTTAGGTCTTCTTCCTATGATTGTTCATCCAGCTCCACGTTGTGGTCGCCATTGCTTTTATTTGCGATGTTGTCAGGTTTTCTTGAGACTGTTAATAG